AATAATAATATAAAACATATCTCAATCTTCATTATAATAAAGGCAAATAGGAATTCGATCATCACCATTCAAATTCTAAATATTTAATAGAGAAAAATTATTATTTATAAAAGTAATGAGACAAATGCAAACATTCATTATACGTGGGGATCTATGTTCTTTTTTCCTTTGTTGTTATGCATCTCAAGACCAAACTACCCATTTTTTGCACTATATTTATCAAAAAAATCTGAGTAAAAATTTTATTAGAAAAAATCCTACCTTTCAAAACCCACAATCACAAAAATCAAAACTTTAAACAAAATCTAAAATATAGACCTCCCATTCAATAATATTCATGATCCACTTCTGCTTGAGATCAACAACTCTTTGCGATTGGAGTTCATAAGACATGTAGTGCACAGATTAAATATCTAAGATTTCAAACAATTTCTTTAAGAATCTAGAGTTCACCAAAACAAAAAAGTTCAAAGATGTGAAAAATTTTGTTTTTTCTTTTTTTTCTTCCTTTTCTTGTACTCTACAATGGATCTTGCAAATTAAAATAAGTCCTTTGAATGGGCAGGTAGTGAGTGGGAAGATGGTGAGGTGGACTAAAATTTGTCCAACTAGGCATTTTTTCCCTAAATATAATTAATTGTATTGTCATTAAAATTTTAAAAAGATTGAAGTAGGCCATTAGTTTAACAAGCGGAGTTGATGGGAGTCGAATGGGAGTTGACGGGAGATGACGGAGGGACATGTTTGGTGTAGAAATTTGGAGTAAAAAGACTAAAAAAGTGCATAATGGAGTTGAGGGACAAAATCGATGCAAAACACTTAAGTTGAGGGACCGAAAAGGGGATTAAACCTTTTTTTTTTCTTGATTTTTGCTCATTTAAGTTCCAATGGAGAGATGGTGGTTTATTACCTACATTTTAGTCAATTAGTTGTTTCTCATTATATTGAAATATGCACAGAAAATAGTGGTAAGCACTGTCAGCCGTGCATTGTCTGAAATGCAAAACTCCACTTAGGAGAGCTCTCTGAATTATGGACTATTGACTTTTGCTGAAGAAGTGTTGGTTGACATGGAGAAATTGGACCAACAGGAATAGTTTCAATCCAGACAAGCTACAAATATTGCTAATTTGAGGCAAAAATGACCTAAACACCCTTAATAGATCAAGTATGGATGTGGATTTAAACTGGCAATTTTTTTTGGCCAATATAATATACTCCTAAGAATGAGGTTGGGCCATGTCAATAGTCAGGTGCATTGAACTTCAATTTTTTTCATGGTTTTTGAGTCTTAGGCTAAGCAAGTTTCTGTCACTGTCCAATTCTTTACTTTGGTAATTGGAAAATTGAGAACCAATGACATTCAGTTTTTTCTGTGAAAGAAAAAGTATCAACAGGGTAGGTGAAAACTCAGACTTGCAAGATTTATCTCTGTTGTCAATCTGAACTCATGTTAAGTAATATCAAGATGGAGTATAGATGCGAATCAAGATTTTTTACTAATAACACTTCAACTCTATAAAAATGCTTAATACAAATTCAGAGGAAATCTTTTTCCCAGATTCTGCAATTCCTATCTCCCATTGACTGAAAAATAATGAAAAATTGTTGCAGAGAACCCCCCAGCTTGGCAAGCTTTGGTGGGGTGTGGGGGAATTGACACAAAATAGTGTGTCTCAGTAGCGAAAAGTGTGCAGCTCGTTCTATTACTGCTTTGAAGCATCTCCTTCATGTTCTCAGTTAACAGGAGGAGCTCGGTAGTATGCTGGCATAGTTACAGGGAAGAACATCTGCCTTACTCCTTCTGCCTTTATGATGAGGAAAACGATGCCTGATGCATCCTGAGAAATCACTAAAAAGAAATGGAAACAGACCATATTTCCTTCATTAACTTAATTACCAGAAGCGGCAGAAAATGATGAGTGTCCATGTACATATATATGCTCTGGTATATGCTGATAAACTTACTGAAATCAATCTAGCCCCTATCCAAACACTTTTAGGTGAAGGAAATGGAATCAACTAACGCCCAACACCATAAATTGCAACAGCGAAGAAATGAAGCACCAAACTCAAGGGACGGGGGTTTAGACCGGAGAGTAGAGCCACTGGTCCATTTGGAATATGCTTCCAAGGCTTAAATAGTCAAAACATTCCTGTCCCATTTCCTTCATTGCAGGATCAAGCGATGCACTGAACGCCTTGTATAAGGCACCAGCCAAAATATTTATTATAGATGCCACTGGCTGCAGACAACACCAAAACCATTTAATAAGTGGAACATTCAGCAGTTTCTGTCTGGTGCACATCATTCCTAGTTTCCCACTGTATTTCATAGAGAATGCAATGCTCACAAGCTTTTTGCAAATAAATCAATATTGTTTAAGCTATTAAACATCAGATGGAAGATAATTTACAAAATTTCCGGGTACATACAAAGTCACGGATGCTTGTAACTCACCTTGCACTGTGTATAAAAAGATTCAAGATATTTGCAAAGAACAGATGCATCATTTAGATTGTGCAGAGGTCTTAGGAGATCCCTTAGCACAACAATGTCAGAGTGCAACAGTCATTCCACCTCCAGTTAGAGGATGCCGCATATTGAATGCATCACCCATCAAAAGTGCACCAGGAGGGGGGTGAGGTGCTGCAGGCATGCTCCTATTTGGCATGGTTCTTATATTCCCTTTATCAATTGCAGCAATGAATGTAGCATGTAGCTCAGGGGGGATCTGAAATGCACAAGTTAGTGGATTAGTCAATCAAATCACAAATAAAATGTTGTTAGAAAAATAGTTTCTACACAATTAATCTCATGAAAAAGCTAGAAGTCTGAGGTCAATAGTGAGCA